GCAATTTTTTTCTTTCAAGGTTTTATATATATCATCTCATTGTCTTCTTGCCTACACGGTTTATGCTGAGTAATCAGAGTTTAGTCTTAATTGTTTCCCCTTTGTATGTGACTTTTCATTTTTCTTGAGGTGCTGTCAGGATTCTCTTTGTTTTTGGTTTTGACAAGTGTGATTATTATGTCTTGGAGACTTTCTTTTTCTTTTGAGGTCTATCCTGATGGGGTTTGTTTTGCTTCTTGTATGGTGAACTTTTCATCTTTTATAATATTGAAAAGTTTTGTGTCAGCATATCTCCAGTGATCCTCTTCCCTGTTCTGGAACTCTGATCACACACAAGTTTTTGCTTTTGATTGTATCCCACATAGTTCTTAGGTTTTCTTCATTCTTTTCTCTGATTTTACTCAAACAAAGTGGTATCCATTGATTTGTCTTCAATTTCGCTGATCCTGTTTTCCATTGTTTAAAATTTGCTCCTGAAACCTTCTGTTGTATTGTCCATTTCTGAAATTTTATTGTTTCTCTTTTGGATTTTTAATTGCTATTTTTGTATGATTTCTAATTGTTTATTTATTTTGACATTTTGTTCTTGTATTATTTTCCTGAATTCTTCTATTGCTTTGTCTGTGTTTTCCATGATTTTGTCTGCATTTTCCTTGATCGCTTTCCTAATCTCTTGGAGAGCCCTTAATATTAGACTTTTGAATTCCCAGTCAGATAGTTCCAGTTTGTTTTCTTCTGCTGGAAGGTTATCTGGTGCTTTATTTTGGTCACTTACTGGAGCCATCTTGTCCCAGTTTTTTAACAATATGTTTCGATATTGTCTGATGTCTCCAAGACATATAGAATTATTTTCTTTATTTATTGATTGTAGATTTGCTTGTGTTGTCCTTTGTTTTGTTTGGTAATGCCTGGGAATGCAGGCTGGCCATGCTTTATTGCTCACTCATCTGTGGGCACAATAGTTCTCACCACTTTGTCCAGGTGTTCAGGGCTGGTTGCTCAGCTATGGTAGAGGAAGGTCCAGCAGGAGAGGAAGGGGTGGGGATGGGTCGTTTGTCTGTGGTGTGAACCGGGCTTGTGCAGGGCCCTGGAGTGGAGCCGCAGCAAGCAGAGGCCAAGGCCAGTGGGGAGGGGTCTGGGTTACAGGCAGATTCCCCTTAATACCGCAGGGTGCAGCAAGGCAGGGCCGAAGCCAGCATGGACGGTCTGGGTCCGTTCGGCAGGGTGGAGGAAAGAGGCAGAAGGGGGGCCGAAGGCAGGGACAGAGGGTGTCTTAGTCATCTACTGCAGCTATAACAGAAATACCACAAGTGGATGTCTTTAACAAAGAGAATTTTATTCTCTCACAGCCCAGTAGGCCACAAGTCCAAATTCAGGGCATCAGCTGCAGGAGAAGGCTTTCTCTCTCTGTCAGCTCTGGAGAAAGTTCCTCTTGATGCATCAGTCTTCCCTTGGTCTGGGAGCATCTCAGCACAAAACCTCGGGTCCAAAGGACGCAGTCTGCTCCCGGCACTGCTTTCTTGGTGGTGTGAGGTTCCCATGTGTCTCTGCTCGCTTTTCTTTTATATCTCAAAAGAGATTGGCTTAAGACACTATCCAGTCTTGTAGACCTCATCAGTATAACTGCCGTTAATCCATCTTATTAGATCTTAGTGATTCAATTTACAACACATAAGGAAATCATATCAGATTACAAAATGGTACACAATTATACAAAAGTGGGAGTCATGACCTAGCCAAGTTGACAGATCTTTTTTGGGGACACAATTCAATTCAGGACACTCCACTCTTTGGCCCCCAAAAATTCATGTCCTTGCAGCATGCAAAACATATTCAGCTCATCATATCACAGGAAAAGTCTTAACCCAAGTTCAAAATCCAAAAATTCCTCTTCATCTGTCAAATATAGAATACAGGTTACCTGCTTCCAAAGGTACAATGGCAGAACAGGCCCAAGATAGACATTTCAATTACAAATGGAAGAAAGTGGAACAGAAGAAGGGATAATAGGCACCAAGCAAGTCAGCAAAACACACCCTCAAGGCTCTGAAAACAATCCTCCATTCTCTGAGACAATTTACACAATAGCCCTGCCCTCCACACTCTAGGTATTAGCCACAATCTGGATTCTGAGTGGAGGCCCTTCAGCCCTGGGCTTTAGCTCTGCCTTCCAGGCCCACTAGGAAAGCAACTCTGTTCCCTCGGCTTTAGGCGCACCATTCTCCTAGTCCATCGGAGTGACAAATCCACGCTTAGAAACACCAGAGGCGATGGCTCCACCCTTTGAAACCCCCGAGGTCATGGCCATACCTTTTGAAACTGAGACAGCTTGGCTTCTTTTGTTCCTTGTCTCGTCAGCTTCTGCTTTCTGTGGCCTCTTGGCTCTTGGGCCTCACACCCACATTTGCCCTGCTGGGGCAAGTGTTCCAAAGTGTGGTAGCTCCACCAATAAGTGCCCGGAGGCACCCCACTCCGCCAGGAAGCCTTTGACGCACAGGTACTCGGCTCTCTCACTCCGTGGGTTGGCTCCAGCACTGTCTCATGCTGGTCTCCTGGTTCTGCTGCTGCTGGTTCTCTGCCACTGCTGGTCCTCTACCATTGCCGCTCCTCTATCCATTCTCAGTTTCAAAACCACTTCCACATTTTAGGTATCTGTTAGAGTAGCACCCCATTCTCCATACCAAATTCTGTCTTAGTCATGTAATGCTGCTATAGCAGAAATACCACAAGTGGATGGTTTTAACAAAGAGAAGTTTATTCTCTCACAGTCCAGACATGCAACATGTAAGGCTACAAGTAGGCTACAAGTCCAAATTCAGAGCATTAGCTCCAGTGGAACTCTTTTTCCATCGGCTCTGGAGGAAGGTCCGTGTCATCAATCTTCCTTTGATCTGGGAGCTTCTCCGCACAGGAACCTCAGGTTCAAAGGACACGCTTTGCTCCCGGCGCTGCTTTCTTGGTGGTATGAGGTTCCCATGTGTCTCCGCTTGCTTTTCTCTTTTAAATCTCAAAAGAGATTGGTTTAAGACACTATCCAGTCTTGTAGACCTCATCAGTATAACTGCCACTAATCCATCTTATTACATCATAGTGATTAAATTGACAACACATAAGGAAATCATATCAGATTACAAAATGGTACACAATTATACAATACTGGGCATCATGACCTAGCCAAGTTGACAGATATTTTGGGGGGATGCAATTCAAGCCATGACAGAGGGGGAAGATGGAGGTTGGCAATAGCGTAGTTTGGTACTGTGGTTCCTTGCAGTCGAGTCTGCCGAGATTGGGCATTTCTTGCCTCTGTTCACCAGAAGGGTGGGGGTTGAAGGAGGGTGCTCCTGTGTTTACTGGGTGAGGGAATCTGGGCTTCTCCTTGAGTTGCAGCCAGCAAACGGGTCTTACTTAGCCCCAAGTATATCCACGCCATGTTTCTGTCTCCTATTAGGAATTCAGTGGCAGTGCCTTTCTGCGTGTAGGGTTTTTGGCTCTTTTCCAAGATGGCCACACTCTGTCGTGCCATTTGGCCGGGGACCTGCACACCGTATCTGTACTTCTTCGACATTTTTTATAGTTTCTTCTTATAGCTTCCGATCTAATACTTTATCCCTTTATTTAAGGTTCAGGGTTCCAGGATTGATGTCTGTATCTATTTTACTTGTTTTTTGGGGTCTTTGTTGCAGTAGGATGGTTTAGTGTGTCTGACTAGTCTGCCATCTTGGCTGTGCCCCCCCCATTAATGAATATTCTGATTTTTTAAAATTGGTGACAAATAGACACGATAATAGCTGATTGTGTCAATTTTATTAATTTCATTGAATGGAAATTTTATTGGAAATCTAAAGTATTATAAAAAATTTAAGCCATTTGTTGATTGCTCCTTTGACTTAATTTTTAATCACTATGAGGCATATTGTATAACTAATTTATTTGTAGGGTGTTTAATGTATTTTATGTTTTAGAGAACTACCTTAAAAAGTTATAGTAGTATAGATTCTTACATATGACACCAAGCATGTGCAACAAAATAAATAAAGCACATATCTGATAAAGACTTAGCATCCAGAATATGTTGAAACTCGTATAACTCACCAACAAAATGACAAACAACCCAGTATAAAAATAGGCAAAGGACTTGAGTAGACATTTCTGCAAAGAAGATTACAAATGACTAAAAAGCACAAGAAAAGATGGTCATCATAATTTGTCATTCGGGAAGTGCAAATCAAAGCCACCATGAGGTACAATTTCACACTCTAGGATGTCTAGATTTAAAAAAAACAAAAATTGGTTAAGTGTTGGCAAGGATATGGAGAAACTGGAATGTAAAATAGTGCAGCACTGTGGAAAGCAGTTTGAAGGTTCTTCAAAAAGTTAAATTTAGAATTACCAAATGACCCAGCAATTCCATTCCTAGGTATATATCCCAAAGGACTGAAAACAAGAACTCAAAGAAGTACGTATGCACATGTGTTTATAGCAACACTACTCACAATGGCCAAAAGGTGGAAATAGCCTAAATTTCCATCAACAGATGAATGGATAAACATATTGTCATATATCCATACCTGGAATATTGTTTATTCATTAAGGGAAATGAAGTTCTTATATATGCTGTGACATGGATTAACCTCAAAAACATTACGCTAAGTGAAAGAAGTCAGACAGAAAAGGTCATATATTGTATGATTCCATTTATATTAAATGTCTAAAATAGGTAAATCCATAGACACAGAAAGCAAATTGGTGGTTGCCAGGGGCTGGGAGTGTAGGGAATGGGGAGAAACTGCTTAATAGGTAAAGGAGTTTACTTTGTATTATGGAAATGTTTTGCCACCACTGGGTAGAGGTGGTGGCTGCACAGCATTGTGAAAGTACTAAATGACACTGAATTGTTCGCTTTAAAATGGTTAATTTTATGTTTTGTGAATTTTACTTCAATAATTTTTTTTTTAATTAAAGTAGTAAATTGAATGACAAACATGCTTTTTTCCCAGGTGTATTCTAGTACTGATGTCCTCTTACACAGAAGTAGACTTACCAAATTGCAGTCTGTACAGGCTCTAACAGAAATTCAGGAGTTTATCAACTTTGTAAGCAAACCAGGTAAATTTTTAACCTATCATTATTTTCTTCTTTTGTAATTGTGAAGGAGTTTTAACATCTAATTTTTTGCTCAGTGAAAGCACGTATTTCTTAATGTATGGGTAAGATACTGTTTTGAGCACATTCAGAACAAAATTTTATTTTTGAAGTCATTGAAATAAATATTTTAAATGGTCAAGCACTATTGTAGGCACTGGGGATGGAAAGCCAAATAAGAGGTAGGCAAAAGGGTGATTTTGACACAGTGTGGTTCCTGCTAAGAGAAGAGTGCATGGGGCACCACATGAAGCAAGGGAGGAAGCCTGACCTGGCCTGAGCTGGGGTGTGGCCTCCTGGAGGAAGGTTCTGAGTTGAGTGCAGAGAAGAAGTGGGATTTGCAGAGTGTCTCCTGCATTGTCCCTAGATGTACCAGTGGTTCTGTAACTGGTGCCAGGTGCCTGGGCCTGAGGGGAGGTAAGGTCACGGTGTCAGTGCCCAGATCACGAAGGTCTTTGTGCCAGCAGAGGGTGGATTTTATCCTGGTGCCTATGGGAAGCCATCCAAGACTCTAAAGGAAAGAGTAAGTCTTTGCAAAGGCAAAATTTCTTAGTTGTAATTCTGAATTTTAATTTTAATTTTGTCCTAAATAAATATAATTATGAAATATACTTTTCAGAGTAGTAACAGAAAATTGGTATTCATCTCCGTCTACATAATTGTACTTTGTTTTAAACTTGGAGAATTATTTTGCAAGTATGTATTGCTCATGAAGCATCATTCATTTTCCAGGAGCTATGTTAATCTCTTTATATTACTTAGTTTTTTGTAGATTTTTTTTTATCCTTATTTTCTAGAGGTTTAGAGAGACTACATGATTCGCCTAAGCTAAGTGAAAGATCCAAATTTTGAGTCCAGTTCTTCTAACTCTAAGCTCATCAATGTAGTAAATGGATTACACGCTTATTTCCCCATGTTTACATCCCTTAGCAATTGAATTTAATGTCAGAATATATTAGATTTAACACAGTAACTTTACGTTTCTTTTATGGGAGAAAATGCAAGTTTGTGCTTTTATTTGTGGTTTTTAGTTTGGATAAGAAATTTAAATTTCTATTTACTGGTGATTTTGTCAGTTGGTCTTGTCATTAAGCAGTGAATACAGTTATACTTTAACATTATTTTTAGGTAATTTATCATCTCAGGTTCCCCTTAAGAGACTTCTGAAAACCTGGACAAACAGATACCCTGATGCTAAAATGGACCCAATGAGCACCTGGGATGATGTCATCACTAATCGGTAAGATGCAACCCTGTCGAGTCAAATATAGGCTCTTTTCTGAAATTGTGAGTATGGTTTTTCCCTTAAACCAAAGTTTAGAAAAAGTGGGGCTTGAGTCTGATGAGTCACATTTAAGTTATCCTGACAAAAGGACCCTCATCAGCGTGTGCCCTTGACTCCCATGGCACCCTGCAGGAGTTCTGCCACTTACTTGGGATTTGTCTTTGTGGCAGCAAGAGATGTTGGGGGATCAGCAAGGGCAGCAGCACATCTGCTTCTCTCTCTGGACTGAATTTTAGTTCATGAAATGACAGCAGAGAAAATACTGCGGAATGATGTTTATTATTCTACTATTATAACTTGCATTTTTGACACTCTGCCTCCTGCCTCCAAACTCCATTACATAATTTTTTTTTAATCACTTTACCAGGACTGAGATATTTTCTTATTCTCATCATAACCTTACCCTGTAACAACCTGGGTAATTGTTAGGGCAGATATTAAACATATATTGGAGAAAAGAGGCAATAAAATCAGAAAAACCAGTGGTTTAACAAATGGTGCTGGCAAAACTGGATGTCCATCTGTAAAAAAATTAAACAGGACCCATACCTCACACTATACACAAAAACTAATTCAAAATGAATCAAAGACCTACATAAAATCCAAAAACCAAACCGGTTGCCATCGAGTCGATTCCAACTTATAGCGACCCTATAGAAAAGAGTATAACTGCGCCATAGAGTTTCCAAGGAGTGCCTGGTGGATTCAAACTGCCAGCGTTTTGGTTAGCAGCTGTAGCACTTAACCACTATGCTACCAGGGTCTCCAGTAGAATCAGAGAGGTCATTAATTAGTTTGTGCAAATATACATAGTAAGTAGGACTCAAGGACTCTGACCCCAGATGTAGTGTTCTTTCCATTATATCGTACTTCCTCTACTACTACGCTTTTTTTTACTTTTTATTTTGAGATAAGTTCTTTCTTACAGAAAAGTTGGAAGAAAAGTAGAACTTTCCTGTATACCTTTTACCAGAATTCATCAATTGTTAACATTTTGCCCCATTTGCTTTTTTAATACTCTGTCCACACATATATATATTATTTATTTTCTAAACCATTTGAGGGACAGTTGCAAACATCATATCCCTGTACGTTGAAGAGTATTCTCTATGTAACCGCAGTACAGTTATCAACTTAAACGCTTTCATTTAATCTACAGCCCCAGTTTCACTTTGTCAGTTGTCCCACTAATGTCCATCGTAGCATTTTCTTCCCCTCTCGGATAGGACCCAGTCTAGGAGTATATACTTCATTTCGTTGATATGTCTTTTTAGTCTCCTTTAATCAACAACGATTACTCAGCCTTTCTTTGTCTTCAGACGTTGGTTTTTTAAAAAATAATATTGTGTTTTCAGTGAAGGTTTACACAGCAGTTTAGGTTCCCATTCAACAATTTCTTACCACAAGTTGTTCAGTGACATTGGATACATTCTTCACAATAAGTGAACATTCTCATTATTTCCGTTTTGATTGTTCCTTTTCCATTCATCTAGTTTTTCTGCCCCCTTACGTTTCTCATCTTTGTTTTAAAGTCATTGTTGACCATTTGGTCTCAAAAAAACCCACTGCCAGTCGAGTCCAGTCCAAATCATAGCAACCCTATAGAACACAGTAGAACTGCCCCAGAGGGTTTCCAAGGCTGTAAATCTTTACAGAAGAAGACTGCTGCATCTTTCTCCTGCAGAGCAGCTGGTAGATTTGATCCATCGCTCTTTCTGTTAGCAGCTGAGCGCTTAACCAGTGCTCCACCAGGACTCCGTTGGTTTAAAGGAGCACAAGTACTCATGAGTGATATTCATTATTTTGTGAGCCAATTTGGTGTTTATCTACAAAGTGACCTCAGGTTAGTTTCGGTTCAAGGTTTGAAGAGTATATCAGGGCAATAATCTCGAGTACTCCAGTCTCAACCAGTCCAGTAGGTTTGGTTTTTGTTTTTGTAGGAATTTGAGGTTCTGCTCCACATTTTTCTCCTATCAGTGCCCATCTGTTGTGGCCCTGATTAGAACAGTCAATAGTGGTACCCAGGCACCGTCTAGTTCTTCTGGTCTCAGGGTAGATGAGGCCATAGTTCATACAGACTGTTTGTGCTGTAGCCTAGTTTCTTCTCTGAGTCTTTGGTTTCCTTCTTTCTCTTTTGCTTCAGACGAGTAGAGACCAATAGTTGTGTTTTAGATGGCTGCTCACAAGCTTTTAAGACACCAAACTGGGATGCAGAACATAACTTTATGGACTGCATTATGCAGTTGACTGAGATGTCCCACGAGACTATGGTCCTAATCCTTCAAACCCAGAAATCCAATCCTGCAAGGTGTTTGGTTATGTCTAAGAAGTCTCTGTTACTGTACCCCCTATGTGTTTTATTATATACATGAATATATGTATATACAGTCACATAGATGCATATACATTTACATATGCCTACATCTATATATATACACATATATACATACCTAAATACATATACGCCTACATACATACATATATACCCACATATGTATTTTTTATTGTTTTTGCTGTTGTTTCATGTTCAAATTGTCTCAGTTTTTGTGCGTGGAAGTGGAAGCCCCTCAGCTGGCTTCTGAGTCCTTTTCACATGCTTCCATCATATTTTTTGATATCACAACAAGTTATTCCAGACTTATCTCTCAAACCTATTCTGTTTTCTTCTAGAAATTGAATAGTTTTAGTCCTTACTATGAGCCACCGCAAGATAATTTCTGTAGATGGTGTGATATAGTGACGTTCTTTTTTTCCTGTGTGAATATCTAGCACGACTTGTTGAAAAGTCTTTTTATTTTTTTCCTACAGTTGAATTGCCTTGGCACCTTATTTGAAAATACGTGTGGGTTATTTCTGAATTCGCTAGTCTTTTCCTTGATTTATATGTATATATATATCTTTTCACAATATCAGACTATCTTGATTACTGTAGCTTTATAGTAAGTGTTATATAAGTCTTGAAAGTAGGTAGGGTGAAGTCTCCAACTTAGTTCTTCTTTTTGAAAAGTATTTTAGGTTTTTTTCATTTACATATATATTTTAGAATAAGCGGGTCGATTTCTACAAAGAAAAACCTGCTGAGATTTTGGTTGGGATTGCATTGACTCTGTAGATCAATTTAAGGGAACATTGTCATCTTAACAATATTGTTAATTAGTGGCAGTCAAGTCAGCCCCGACTCACGGGAACCTTATGTGTTAACAGAACACAACATTGCTCGGTCCTGTGCCATGATCACAATTGTTGGTATGTTGCTGCTAATGTGTCAGTCTCTCAAGGAGGGTTTCTGTCATTTTCGCTGACCCTCTACTTTTCCAAGCCTTATGTCCTTTTCTAGCAGTTGGCCTTTCCTGATGACATGTCCAGAGTAAGTGAGCCAAAGTCTTACCATCCTCGCTTCTGAGGAGCATTCGGACTGTATTTCCTCCAAAACGAATTTGTTCATTTTTTTCTGGCAGTCCACAGTAAATTCAGCATTCTTCACCAATACCAAATTCAAACGCATCAATTCTTCTTTTTCACTGTCCAACTTTCACATGTGTATGAGGTGATTGAAAATACCATGGCTTGGGGCAGGCACACCTTAGTCAATAAAGTGACATCTTTGCTTTTTAACACTTTAAAGAGGTCTTTTGCAGTAGATTTTCCCAGTGCAATATGTCATTTGATTTCTTGACTGCTGCTTCTGTGGGCATTGATTGTTGATACAACCAAAAAAAACCCATTGCCGTCGAATCAATTCCAACTCATAGCTATCCTATAGGACAGAGTAGAACTGCCCCATAGGGTTTCTAAGGAGCTGCTGGTAGATTTGAACTGCCGACCTTTTTGTTAGCAGCCAAGCTCTTAACCACTGCGCCACCAGGGCTGCTTGTTGATACAAGTAGAAAGAAATCCTTGGCAACTTCAGTTTCTTTGCCATTTATCATGATGCTATTTATCAGACCAGTTGTGAGGATTTTCATTTCTTTATGTTCAGGTAATCCATACTGAAGACTGTAGTCTTTGACCTTCATCAGTAAGTGCTTCAAGTTGCCTTCTGTTATGGGAAGTAAGGTTATGTTATCTGCATATCACAGGATGTTAATGAGTCTGCCTCCAATCCTGATGCTGCATTGTTCTTCATATAGTCCAGCTTCTTGGATTATTTGTTCAACATACAGATTGAATAAGTAAGCTGAAAAGGATACAACCCTGACACACACCTTTTCTGATTTTGAACCATGCAGTATCCCTTTATTCTGGTTGAACAAATGCCTCTTGATGCGTGTACAGGTTCTGCACAAGCACAATTAAGTGTTCTGTAATTCCCATTCTTTGTAACGTTATCTGGAGCCCTAGTGATGCAGTGTCTTTTTAATGATCTTTCACTTTCTTCATGTATGATGCCCTTGATGTCTTCCCACAGTTCTTTTGGGTTTTGATCATTAGTGTTCAGCACATCAAATCTGCTCTTGAGATGGTCTCTAAATTCAGGCGTGATGTATTCAAGGTCGTACTCTGGCTTTCTTGGACTTGTTTTGATTTTCTTCAGCTTCAACTTGAACTTATACATGAGCAGTTGATGGTCTGTTCCGCAGTTGACTCCTGGCTTTGTCTTGACTGATAATATAGAGCTTCTTTATCGTATCTTTCCACAGAGGTAGTCGATTTGATTCCTGTGTAATTATCCATCCATCTTGACTGCATATTTGGTCAATTTCAACCTGTAGCAGTTTATAAAAATCTTCAATTTCTTCATCTTTAGCATTCGTGGTCAGTGTATAAATTTGAATAATAGTCATATTAACTGGTTTTCATTGTAGGTATATGGATATCAACCTATCACCAATTGCGTTGTACTTCAGGATAGCTCTTGAAATATTCTTTTTGATAAAGAGCACAGCGCTGTTCTTCTCCAATTTGTTGTTCCTGGTATGATCATATATATGATTGTAGGATTCAAAATGACCAAT